ATACGAGCATAACCAATAAAACCAATATAAGGTTTAAAAGAATGTCTTCAGAAACAAGTACTTTCCTAAGACCTCTCAATGTAACATCAAATTGCCAATGAATAGTAAGAGTACAAGAATTAACAGCATTAACAGATTGAGGAGTTTTTATAGAAATTAATAATTGAGGATTCCATGCACTATACATATTATCCATACTGAGTACATCTCTAGTATTAGTTGTTGGTAAATACATAGACTTTTCCATCATAGATGCTGCATCTAATTGTCTTACAACTCCCCATCTACTACCATAATATAACGTCTTTTCATTTGCACTAGAATAAGAAGAAACAGAAGAATAAGTAGGTAATTGGAAATATCTTGTATTATTAATAACAGCAGTATTGATTCTAACACCATTACGATCCCATGCTGTACATATAGATGGAAATGTTGCACTATTTAATAATTGATTTCCAATAAATGTCATTTCCATAGATGCTCTAACAGCATTTAACTTAAATTGATCATACATTCCCATATAATTATGAAAATATTGTGTAGAAGTCATCAATGCAGTAACATTCCTTAACATTGTACCTTCGTTTGCACCAACTGGAACATTAATAGAAACATCTTCTTGCATACTAATAACAACATTAGTACTATCTCGTTGTTGCATAGCACTGGCAAAATTACCAAATGCTTGTCGTTTCAAAGTTGCACGTTTTTTATATCCTCTTCTTGGATAATTACGTCTACCAGCACGTCGTTGCATCAAATGAATGAAAACAAGATTCAATTAAGAGTTCTAATTAAATAATGATATAGTCTTAGATATTAACGAAGTAGCATTACTAAAAAAATCAACAACTTCATCACCAGCAACTTTCCTCAAACCACCAATTAAAACAGATTCCAATGCATCTCGACCAGCACTCAAATATGTATTATTATCAATAAACTGCATACCCTCAGAAATACCAGTATAAGCATAACCTACCAACACTTTAGCCGTAT